AGTACTTTGTTTGTGATCCCATAATGCTAAATAGGCTGATTGTCACCAAAACCTTATTCATTCACTTCATCTCGCTCGCCTCCCGTCTGTTTTCCATAGCCACAAAGTCAAATTCCACAGCCACATTCTGCCTTGAAATGACATCCTGACATTCTTAGAGAGCAAAGCGCTCACTTTTATGAAGGAAGATATTGCCTCTTCTTTGCCAGCGTTGTTGATCAGTACAATAAAATAAGTCTTAAATGGAAGGGATTGTTTGTCATCTGTAGTCTCATGAAATCAGCTAAAATAAGCTCTAACTCAATGCATGCACACACCTATTGAATAATATGCATTAACCTGTGTTGTGGATAGACCTAGATCTTGAATTACCCAGTTACCCAGTTATCAATAGATTTACCATTCAAATAAATGATTAAATAAATCAATGATTAGTAGGGATGGGCAAGAGTACTCCAACGGACGTCAAAACTCTGTCTTTAACCAGAGATGATAAATACTGTAAAACTATTTGGTGGAGTGTGCTTTGTGGCTGCCCGAACGGGCAAGTGAAATGTTGTCTTGAAGACAACATATATTTTCTTTGACTCTAGTGTTCGATTTGTACAACAACAAACCAAGCCAAGCATCCCACTAGTTCTTCTCCCTAAATGTCCTTTCCCCTTCATGTCTTATTCACTCATTGCATTCCGACTGCTCCACACATACGTACACGTGAACAGTTTGTCATAAACAGTGCCCATAGAAATAGACATCGCGCGGGGGGCTGTTCCTCAATGCTGGAAGGGGAAAAGGTTTGGAAACCCCTGTTTTAGATCACAAAAAAGAACATGATTTTAGCTTACATGTTGTGGTAAAAACTGGTTTAGGAGAAGAAGAAGAAGATGAATATTGTATTTTTCATTTGTTGTCCACATCTGTAGTCTTCTTCTTGTTCCTTCTAGCATCCTCTTGCCTGAATGCCCGTGAGGCTTGCATTGTTTCCAATAGGGCTTACTGTGGCATGAGCAGCTGACATGTTTTATCAGTGCTGTGGAATAAGTATTTCAAACAAATGTTTTCTTATCCCCTCTCTCTCTCTCTCTGTCTCTCTGTCTCTCTGTCTCTCTGTCTCTCTGTCTCTCTGTCTCTCTGTCTCCCTCCCTCCCTCCCTCCCTCCCTCCCTCCCTCCCTCCCTCTCAGACAGGTGTGGTTCAGGTTCAGGTGAGTGATGCCTGTGCAGTCCAGCAGTGACTGTCCCCATCTGGAGTGTGTAGGAGAAATCACCAAGGAAGAACTCATCCACAAGTCACATGTGAGTCCCCCTCCATAGACCACCTGTACTGTAGTACATAAGTCCCCTCCATAGACCACCTGTACTGTAGTACATAAGTCCCCTCCATAGACCACCTGTAGTACATAAGTCCCCTCCATAGACCACCTGTACTGTAGTACATACGTCCCTCCATAGACCACCTGTACTGTAGTACATAAGTCCCCTCCATAGACCACCTGTACTGTAGGACATAAGTCCCTCCATAGACCACCTGTACTGTAGTACATAAGTCCCCTCCATAGACCACCTGTACTGTAGTACATAAGTCCCCTCCATAGACCACCTGTAGTACATAAGTCCCCTCCATAGTACCACCTGTAGTACATAAGTCCCCTCCATAGACCACCTGTAGGACATAAGTCCCTCCATAGACCACCTGTAGTACATAAGTCCCCTCCATAGACCACCTGTAGTACATAAGTCCCTCCATAGACCACCTGTACTGTAGTACATAAGTCCCCTCCATAGACCACCTGTACTGTAGTACATAAGTCCCCTCCATAGACCACCTGTACTGTAGTACATAAGTCCCCTCCATAGACCACCTGTACTGTAGTACATAAGTCCCCTCCATAGACCACCTGTACTGTAGTACATAAGTCCCCTCCATAGACCACCTGTACTGTAGTACATAAGTCCCCTCCATAGACCACCTGTAGTACATAAGTCCCCTCCATAGACCACCTGTACTGTAGTACATAAGTCCCCTCCATAGACCACCTGTAGTACATAAGTCCCCTCCATAGACCACCTGTACTGTAGTACATAAGTCCCCTCCATAGACCACCTGTACTGTAGTACATAAAGTGTCCCCCTCCATAGACCCACCTGTAACGGTAGTACATAAGTCCCCTCCATAGACCCGACACCTGTACTGTAAGTACATAAGTTAAGTCCCCTCCATAGGAGACCACCTTGTAAGTAACTAAGTCCCCCTCCATAGACCCACCTGTTAAACTTGTAGTACCATAGTCCCCCATAGAAACCCACCTGTAGTAACATAAGTCCCTCCATATAGACCACCTGTAACTGTAGTTACATAAGTCCCTCCATAGACGCACCTGTAGTACATAAAGTCCCCTCCATAGAACCACCTGTACTGTAGTACATAAGTCCCCCAAATAGACCCACCTGTACTGTAGTATCATAAGTCCCCTCCATAGAACCACCTGTAAACTGTAGTAACCATAAGTCCCTCCATAGACCTACCTGTACTTGTTAGTACATAAAGTCCCTCCATAAGACCCCCTGTACTGGGATAAGAACCCAACTTACTGTAGATACATAAGTCCCTCCATAGAACCACCTGTAACTGTAGTACATAAGTCCCTCCATAGACCACCTGTATGGGAGTACATAAGTCCCCCCCATAGACCACCTGTAAATGTAGTACATAAGTCCTTTCCCTAGACCCACCTGTACTGTAGTACATAAAGTCCCTCCATAGACCACCTGTACTGTAGTACATAAGTCCCCTCCATAGACCACCTGTACTGTAGTACATAAATCCCTCCATAGACCCACCTGTACTGTAAATACATAAGTCCCCTCCATAGACCCACCTGTACTGTATACATAAGTCCCCTCCATAACCACCTGTACTGTGTAAAATAATCCCTCCATAGACCACCTGTATGTAGTACATAAATCCCTCCTAGACCACCTGTACTGTAGTACATAAGTCCCTCCATAGACCCACCTGTACTGGTAGACATAAGTCCCTCCATAGACCACCTGTACTGTAGTACATAAGTCCCTCCATAGACCACCTGTACTGTAGTACATAAGTCCCTCCATAGACCACCTGTACTGTAGTACATAAGTCCCTCCATAGACCACCTGTACTGTAGTACATAAGTCCTTCCATAGACCACCTGGGACTGTAGTACATAAGTCCCTCCATAGACCACCTGTACTGTGTACAAGTCCCTCCATAGACCACCGTACTGTAGTACATAAGTCCCTCCATAGACCACCTGTACTGTAGTACATAAGTCCCCTCCATAGACCACCTGTCTGGGAGTACATAAGTCCCTCCATAGACCACCTGTACTGTAGTACTAAGTCCCTCCTAGACCACCTGTACTGTAGTACTAATCCCCCCCATAACCACCTGGGACTGTATACATAAGTCCCCCCCCTAGACCACCCGTAGGACATAAGTCCCCCCATAGACCCCCCTTTTTACTGTAGTACATAATTCCCCCCCCATAGCCACCTGTAGTACATAAGTTCCCCTCCATAGACCACCTGACTTTAGTCATAAAGTCCCTCCATAGACCCCCTGTAGGACATAAGTCCCCTCCATAGACCACCCTGTAGTACTAAAAAGTCCCCTCCATAACCACCTGTACTGTAGTACATAAGTCCCCTCCATAGACCCCCCTGTACTTTAGTACATAAGTCCCCCTCCATAGACCACCTGTACTGTAGTACATAAGTCCCCCTCCATAGACCACCTGTACTGTAGTACATAAGTCCCCCTCCATAGACCCCCTTAGTACATATCCCCTCCATAGACCACCTGTACTGTAGTACATAAGTCCCCCTCCATAGACCACCTGTATGTAGTACATAAGGGCCCCCATAGACCACCTGTAGTACATAAGGGCCCCTCCATAGACCACCTGTACTGTAGTACATAAATCCCTCCATAGACCACCCTGTTACTGTATACATAAGTCCCCCCCTAGACCACCTTACTGTAGTACATAAGTCCCTCCATAGACCACCTGTACTTAGTCATAAGTCCCCCCCCATAGACCACCTGTACTGTAGTACATAGTCCCTCCACAGACCCCTGTAGTACATAAGTCCCCTCCAAAAGACCACCTGTAACTGTAGACATAAGTCCCCCATAGACCACCTGTAGTACATAAGTCCCCCTTTCCCTAGACCACCTGTACTGTAGGACATAGTCCCCTCCATAGACCACCTGTACTGTAGTACATAATCCCCTCCATAGACCACCTTTACTGTAGTACATAAGTCCCCCTCCATAAAACCACCTTTTAGGACATAAGTCCCCTCCATAGACCACCTGTACTGTATACATAATTCCCCTCCAAGACCACCTGTAGTACCTAAGTCCCCCCATAGACCACCTTACTGTAGTACATAAGTCCCTCCATAGACCCACCTGTAGGACATAATCCCTCCATAGACCACCTGTACGTAGTACATAAGTCCCCTCCATAGACCACCTGTACTGTGTACATAATCCTTCCATAAAAACCACCTGTACTGTTTGTACATAAGTCCCCTCCATAGACCACCTGTAACTGTGTACATAAGTCCCCTCCATAACCAACTTGTACTGTAAATACTAAGTCCCTCCATAGACACCTGTACTGTATACATAAGTCCCTCCATAGACACCTGTACTGTAGTACATAAGTCCCCTCCATAGACCACCTGTACTTTAGTACTAAGTCCCCCTCCATAGACCACCTGTACTGTGTACATAGTCCCCTCCATAGACCACCTGTATGTAGTACTAAGTCCCTCCATAGACCACCTGTACTGTAGTCATAAGTCCCCTCCATAGACCACCTGTACTGTAGTACATAAGTCCCCTCCATAGACCCCTGTCTGTAGTACATAATCCCTCCATAGACCCACCTGTAGTACTAAGTCCCCTCCATAGACCACCTGTGTACTAAGTCCCCCCCATAGACCACCTGTACTGTAGGCCCTAAGTCCCCCCCATAGACCACCTGTACTGTAGTACATAGTTCCTCCATAGACCACCTGTAAATGTAGTAACATAAGTCCCTCCAGAGCACCACCTGTACTGTAGTACTCAGTCCCCTCCATATACCACCTGTAGTAGCATAGTCCCCTCCATAGACCACCTGTACGTTGGACTCGTCCCTCCATCGACCACCTGTACGGGTAGTACATAGTCCCCTCCATAGACCCACCTTGTACGGTAGTACATAGTCCCTCCATAGACCACCTTTACTGTAGTACATAATCCCTCCATAACCACCTGTACTGTCGTACATAAGTCCCTCCATGAACCACCTTACTGTAGTACATAAGTCCCCTCCATAACCACCTGTAACTGTTAGTACATAAGTCCCCATAGACCACTTTGTAAGTACATAAGTCCCCTCCAAGACCACCTGTAACTGTAAAGTACTAAGTCCCTCCATAGACCCCTGTAGTACATAAGTCCCCTCCAAGACCACCTTGTACTGTTAGTACCTAAGTCCCTCCATAGACCCCTGTACTGTGTACATACATTCCTTCATAGACCACCTGTACTGTATAACCTAAGTCCCCTCCATAGACCACCTGTACTGTAGTACATAAGTCCCCTCCATAGACCACCTGTACTGTAGTACATTCAGTGCATTAGGAAAGTATTCAGACCCCTTGACTTTTTCAAAATGTTGTTATGTTACAGCCTAATTCTAAAATGGATTAAATTGTTATTTTCCCCTCATCAATATACACACAATACCCCATAATGACAAAGCAAAAACAGGTTTTATTTTTTGTGTGCAAAAAATAAAATAATATAAATATCACATTTTCATAAGTATTCAGACCCTTTACTCAGTACTTTGTTGAAGCACCTTTGGCAGCGATTCACAGCCTCTCAAGCTCTGTCAGGTTGGATGGGGAGCGTCGCTGCACAGCTATTTTCAGGTCTCTCCAGAGATGTTAGATCGGGTTCAAGTCCAGGCTCTGTAGATGCTGTCTTACTGGTCCAGTCTGAGATTATAAAACTGTTTTACTGGTCCAGTCTGAGATTATAATACTGTTTTACTGGTCTGGCCTGGCCTGTTCACTGAAGCTGGTTGTTGTGATGTAATGTTTTGTGTGTGTGTGTGTGTTTCTAGGGCCAGTGTCAAGACTGCAAGGTTGGAGGACCAAATTTGTGGGCGTGTCTGGAGGTGAGTGAGCGGTCCCAGGCTTTGTTTGACTTTTATTTTGAAAGTTCTGTGACTGCCATTTGGCCTTGTATGAATATGGACTGTACAGTTCTGTAGTAATAATATGTTTCTCTGTGTGTGTGTGTGCAGAACAGCTGTGCGTATGTGGGCTGTGGAGAATCTCACGCTGACCACAGCACTGTCCACTCACAGGTGAGTCACCCCTGACCCTTGACCCTTCACCTCCCACACACATACCTACAGGACTAGATCAATATTCAGGAGGGTATAGAACATACCTACAGGACTAGATCAATATTCAGGAGGGTATAGAACATACCTACAGGACTAGATCAATATTCAGGAGGGTATAGAACATACCTACAGGACTAGATCAATATTCAGGAGGGTATAGAACATACCTACAGGACTAGATCAATATCAGGAGGGTATAGAACATACCTACAGGACTAGATCAATATTCAGGAGGGTATAGAACATACCTACAGGACTAGATCAATATTCAGGAGGGTATAGAACATACCTACAGGACTTAGATCAATATTCAGGAGGTATAGAAACATACCTACAGGACTAGATCAATATTCAGGAGGGTATAGAACATACCTACAGGACTAGATCAATATTCAGGAGGGTATAGAACATACCTACAGGACTAGATCAATATTCAGGATGATGCAGGAGAAAAGGTGGTGTTGGAGGAAGGGAGGGGGTGTTGGAGGAAGGGAGGGGGTGTTGGAGGGAGGGAGGGGAGGGGGTGTTGTTGGAGGGGAGGGAGGGGGTGTTGGGAGGGAGGGGAGGGTAGGTGGTGTTGGAGGAAGGGAGGGGGTGTTGGAGCGGAGCGGGGGTGTTTTGTGGAGGAGGGAGGGGGTGTTGGACGGAAGGGGGGGGTGTTGGAGGGTGTGGTGTTGGAGGGAGGGGTGTTGGCGGGAGGGTGTGTTGGGAGGGAGTGTTGGGGTGAGGGTTGGGAGAAGACGGAAGTGTGAGGGGGGCGAGGAGACAAGGAGGTGGTGGAGAGAGGAGTGACGGGGGAGAGAAAGGGATTTAAGATGTTAAAGTAGATGAGAGTCCCAGTTCGTATTGCCATTAAAAGGAATAAGATTATATGATTATTAAACCTAGCATTAGATTATTTCATCACCCCCCCCCCCCCCCCGCTCCCTCTTTCTCTCCCTCTATCGATCACTCTCTCTCTACCTCTTTCTGTCTCTCACTCTCTTTCTATATATATACACAGTGCATTCGGAAAGTATTCAGACCCCTTGACTTTTTCCACATTTTGTTACGTTACAGCCTTATTCTAAAATGGATTAAATTGTTGTTTTTCATCAATCTACACACAATACCGTATAATGACGAAGCAAAAAACAGTTTTTGCAAATGTATTAAAAATAAAAAACTGAAATCACATTTACATAAGTATTCAGACACTTTACTCAGTACTTTGTTGAAGTACCTTTGGCAGCGATTACAGATTAAGTCTTCTTGGGTATGACGCTACAAGCTTGGCACACCTGTATTTGGGGAGTTTCGCTGAACAGCTATTTTCAGGTCTCTCCAGAGATGTTCGATCGGGTTGAAGTTCTGGCTCTGGCTGGGCCACTCAAGGACATTCAGAGACTTGTCCTGAAGCCACTCCTGCATTGTCTTGGCTGTGTGCTTAGGGTCGTTGTCCTGTTGGAAGGTGAACCTTTGCCCCAGTCTGAGGTCCTGAGCACTCTGGAGCAGGTTTTCATCAAGGATCTCTCTGTACTTTTCTCCGTTCATGTTTGCCTCGATCCTGACTAGTCTCCCAGTCCCTGCTGCTGAAAAACATCCCCACAGCATGATGCTGCCACCACCATGCTTCACCGTAGGGATGGTGCCAGGTTTCCTCCAGACGTGATACTTGGCATTCAGGCCAAAGAGTTCAATCTTGTTTCTCACGGTCTGAGAGTCTTTAGGTGCCTTTTGGCAAACTCCAAGCGGGCTGTCATGTGCCTTTTACTGAGGAGTGGCTTCCGTCTGGCAACTCTACCATAAAGGCCTGATTGGTGGAGTGCTGCAGAGATGTTTGTCCTTCTGGAAGGTTCTCCCATCTCCACAGAGGAACTCTGGAGCACTGTCAGAGTGACCATTGGGTTATTTTTAATAAATTTGCAAAAAATTCTAAAAGCCTGTTTTCACTTTGTCATTATGTGGTATTGTGTGTAGATTGATGAGGACACTTGTTTGTGTACGTATATTTTATGTAATGTTGTATGTTTTCCCCCCAACACAACTTTCCATCAATTTGTATAGCAGACCCTCATGCCAAATTGAGTCAAAAGCTTTTTTAAATCAACAAAGCATGAGAAGACTTTGCTTTTGTTTTGTTTGTTTGTCAATAAGGGTGTGCAGGGTGTATACGTGGTCTGTCGTACTGTATTTTGGTAAGAAGCCAATTTGACATTTGTTCAGGACATTGTTTTCACTGAGGAAATGTTGGAGTCTGCTGTTGATGATACTGCAGAGATTGCTGCTGATGCAGATTCCACGGTAATTATTGTGGTCAAATTTGTCTCCACTTTTGTGGATTGGGGTGATCAGGCCTTGGTTCCAAATATTAGGGAAGATGCCAGAGCTGAGGATAATGTTGAAGAGTTGAATTTGTGGGCTGCATATTGTATTTCGTCTAGGATACCATCAACACCACAGGCCTTTTGGGGTTGGAGGGTTTGTATTTTGTCCTGTAGCTCATCCGAAGTAATTGGAGAATCCAGAGGGTTCTGGTAGTCTTTAGTAGCTGATTCCAGGTTTTTAAATTATCATGTACAGTGGGGAAAAAAAGTATTTAGTCAGCCACCAATTGTGCAAGTTCTCCCACTTAAAAAGATGAGAGAGGCCTGGAAATGGAAGACATACAAGACCACTGATAATCTCCCTCGATCTGGGGTTCCACGCAAGATCTCACCCTAGTGAATGACCTGCAGAGAGCTGGGACCAAAGTAACAAAGCCTACCATCAGTAACACACTACGCCGCCAGGGACTCAAATCCTTCAGTGCCAGACGTGTCCCCCTGCTTAAGCCAGTACATGTCCAGGCCCGTCTGAAGTTTGCTAGAGTGCATTTGGATGATCCAGAAGAGGATTGGGAGAATGTCATATGGTCAGATGAAACCAAAATATAACTTTTTGATAAAAACTCAACTCGTCGTGTTTGGAGGACAAAGAATGCTGAGTTGCATCCAAAGAACACCATACCTACTGTGAAGCATGGGGGTGGACACATCATGCTTTGGGGCTGTTTTTCTGCAAAGGGACCAGGACGACTGATCCGTGTAAAGGAAAGAATGAATGGGGCCATGTATCGTGAGATTTTGAGTGAAAACCTCCTTCCATCAGCAAGGGCATTGAAGATGAAACGTGGCTGGGTCTTTCAGCATGACAATGATCCCAAACACAACGCCCGGGCAACAAAGGAGTGGCTTCGTAAGAAGCATTTCAAGGTCCTGGAGTGGCCTAGCCAGTCTCCAGATCTCAACCCCATAGAAAATCTTTGGAGGGAGTTGAAAGTCCGTGTTGCCCAGCGACAGCCCCAAAACATCATGGCTCTAGAGGAGATCTGCATAGAGGAATTGGCCAAAATACCAGCAACAGTGTGTGAAAACCTTGTGAAGACTTACAGAAAACGTTTGACCTGTGTCATTGCCAACAAAGGGATATAACAAAGTATTGAGAAACTTTTGTTATTGACCAAATACTTATTTTCCACCATAATTTGCAAATAAATTCATTAAAAATCCTACAATGTGATTTTCTGGAGAAATAAAATCTCATTTTGTCTGTCATAGTTGACGTGTACCTATGATGAAAATTACAGGCCTCATCTTTTTAAGTGGGAGAACTTGCACAATTGGTGGCTGACTAAATACATTTTTCCCCACTGTATATGTTTTTGCTCTTGGTTATTAGTTATTTGGCCCAAAAGGTTGGAGAAGTGGTGTATCCATACATCTCCATTTTGGATAGATAGCTCTTCCTGTTGTTTGGTTAGTGCGTTCCAATTTTCCCAGAAGTGATTTGATTCTTCAATCACAATGATAGGCTTCCTACTGCTAAGTTTACACCTTCACTGTTGCAGGAAAACATTTTGTCCTGGAAGTTGTCTAGGAGGGATTGGATTTGTTGTTGGCCAATTGTTTCTTGTGGTCCTCTGTAGCTCAGCTGGTAGAGCACGGCGCTTGTAACGCCAGGGTAGTGGGTTCGATCCCCGGGACCACCCATACGTAAAAATGTATGCACACATGACTGTAAGTCGCTTTGGATAAAAGCGTCTGCTAAATGGCTTATTATTATTATTATATTATTATTTCTACACTACCCTCCTTCCATCTATAGCATTTCTTATTTCTCATGGTTGATTATTGCTCTGTTGAAGTAGATTGTGATTTTGCTGTGGTCTGATAGGGGTGTCAGTGGGCTGACTGTGAATGCTCTGACAGACTCTGGGTTGAGGTCAGGGATAAAGTAGTCTACAGTACTACTGCCAAGAGATGAGCTATAGGTGTACCTACTGTAGGAGTCCACTCGACGCCGTTTTTGTTGGTTATGTTGTCGTAGTTGTGCCTAGGGGGGCATATTGGGGAGGGAATGCTGTCACCTCCAGGTCGGTGTTTGTCCCCCTGTGCGCTGAGAGTCAGGTTCTTGTCCAGTTCTGGCATTTAGGTCGCCACAGACTACTACATGTCCCTGGGCCTGGAAGTGATTCACATTTTATTTGTCACATGCGCTGAATACAACAAGTGTAGACCTTACCGTGAAATGCTTACTTACAAGCCCTTAACCAAAAATGCCGTTTTAAGAAAATAAGAGTTAAGGAAATATTTACTAAATAAACTAAAGTTAAAAAAGTCTATATACAGGGTGTACCTGTACCGAGTCAATATGCAGGAGAAGCTGTCTTCATTAATGTATGGTGATGCTAGTGGGGGGATATAGGTAGCATACAGGAGGACATTTTTCTCTGAAATAATTTCCTTTTGAATTTCTAGCCAAATGTAAAATGTTCCTGTTTTGATTAATAGTGAGTTAGGTCTGCTCTATACCAAATTAGCATACCCCCTGAGTCCATTCCCTGTTTCACACCTGGTAGTTTGGTGGATGGGACTACCAGCTCTCTGTAACCTAGAGGGCAACCAGTGGGTCCGTCTCCTCTATACCATGGTTCTTGTAGGATGATAATGTCT